GGGTGTGAAGGACGATCGCGTCCACTTTCTCAACCTGCCATTCTATGACACGGCAAGCAACCCCCTCGCTCCCTGCGGGCGGCTTGGCGCGTGACGGCTGCTTGCTGCGAGCCTCTGGCTGGCTTGTACGTTCCCCTTTGCCAGACACACACGCAGCACCACGCTCGCTGCCCTACTTCGTATCACAAATATGTCAACATGTTCATGCATATTCTCCCTCTCTGTCATCCCTCTCTCCCAAACACACACACATGTGCAAACACATGATGTACTTACATACACACTCGCACAGTTGCATGTACACTCACATACACACACGCTTTTACACACACGCTTTTACACACACTCCTGATGTCATCGTCCTCCTGTCCAGGGCATGGTGCGCAAGAAGCCGCTGAGTGATGCTGATGTGGCGCTGGTCCAGGGCCTGCTGGAGGAGGTGCAGCCCCACCAGGTCTTCGCGGCCGGTGACCTGTCGGGTGAGTGCTGGGCGGTGGCCGGGGTGACACAGGGGGATTGTGTGTGTGCACACGCAGGAGCGAGAGAGAGAGAGTGTGTGTGGGGGTGTGGGGGTGCATGCAGGCGCTCGTGCATGCAAGCGAAAAACAGGCACGGACGAACGCGCTGTGAGGACCTTGCCCGCAGCGGCCTCCGGGCCGTCAGTCGGCAGCAGACGCTTTTGAGGCTGCCGGCTGGCGGATCGCGTACAATCAGCTGGTGCTGTCCTCCCTTGACCCTTCAACCGCGGACGAGACGCTATGGTGCAGCCTGGCTAACCCCTGCCCTGAAGAAACGCGGTCACCGACCCCGTTGTAACCCCGCCTCAAACACTCCAGACCCTCATGGCACGCACCGCACCTGCCTGGAAGCTGTGCTGAAGGCCCTGGGCAACCTCAAGGCCAGCAACGCCAGCTGGATGGCAGACTGCCGCGTGTGGCTGTACAGGTGCGCAACACCACCCCACCCCTGCTCTGGAGACAGAAAGCAACAATTCAGCCGCAGCTTGGCAAGAGACGTGCTGACGGACGCCAACACGGATGCTCCCACGGATACTCCCACTGCCGGGCCCGGCGTCCGCCACATCCCAGGCCCCAGGCACCGCGTTTCGCGTCTCCGCTTCGCCGCCTGCGCCGGCAGGCCGCACTTCCCGCTCGCCCCATCCCTGGCCGGCTGCTCATTGCACAGCACGCCTCCTGCCGGCAGCGCGGCCGTCAATCTGTCCTCCAGCGCCATTTGCCAGCCCCTGCTCCCCTCCTTGAAGACTGCACCCACAACCGGAACGCCTCCCCGTGTCGACCACAAACATCACACCTCACCAACCCCTCGCCCTCCTTGCCCCTCCTCAACCATACCCCAACCCACCCCTGATCCCTCAACCTACGCGTGCGTCAGGGGTGCGTGGCAGGAGTGGGGCATTGATGAGATGGACATGGCGGTGCCCCTCAGCCCCCAGGAGCTGGTCACCAAGCGCCACGCTATCTACAAGCACCAGGTCTGTCGGAGCAGCTGCCGTGCAGCTGCACCGCACCTGCGCGCGCCGGCCGCGCGCCGATGTGGCGCCCGCGGCAGGGGGAGGGGCGAAGCACAAGATCGTTTTGTCGCGCCCCGGGGCTGGTCGGGGGTCGCCGGCGGTTTTGGGGATGGAGCATGTGTTGTTTTGGCGGGTGCGACGGGGGCCGTGGCCTGCCGGGTCGGCCAGCAGCCCCAACGTCGTCAAGCAAGCACGCCCCGGGCCCGTTGACAGTCAATGTCGTATGGGCAGGGGCCGGCCCTACGCACGGGCCCTCGTGCGGACACTGATTATGCGCTCACAGCCCCGGCCTGACGCGGCCGCCCCTCCCTGCCCTCTGCAGTCCCAGAAGGACCGCCCGCTGTTCCCGGGGCCGGACGAGCGGGAGTTCTGGCAGCGGTCAGAGGCGCGCAACAGGGAGACGGCGGCGCTCTTTGACAGGCTGGGGCTGCCGGTGGGTGGCCCCGCACTGCCGGGGCTGCGCGTGGTAGCGCTTTTATTCGGTTAGGTTTTGGGGGTCACAGGGATTTGCTAGCGTGTTGAGGTCTCGTGGGTGCAGGCTTATGCACTGGGCTGGCTGCAGCCGCGTGCGTGAAGCCCGGCTGTCGGAGCGGGCCGCCCCGGTGGCGTCGGTTGGTCACACGCCGCGTTCGTGCATCTGCCTGGTAAGGCGACGCGCGTGCGCACATGTGCATCCGTGCAGGCGTGTGTGTGCGCGTGCGCACACGCACAAACACTCACGCCAGCACGGATGCACGTGCTCACCTGCGGCAGTGCTCAAACCCGCATGCTGCCCTACTTGCACGCATGCGTGCATACTGGTGCTGGTAAAAGCGTGATGTTTTGCAGTGCAATGCATACCAGCGCGTGTTGCGTTGTGGTGCAGGGCCTGCACGAGTGCATGCAACCACACGCCCACGTGTCACGTTTTGTCGCAGCTCTTCATCAGGCCCTGCCCACCGCACGCACGCAAGCGCACACACGCACGCCTTTTGCCCCACTCCACCCCATCGCGGCACTTCGCTGCACCCACTCTCGTCCGTGGCGCCCCCGCATGAACCTTCCACCCCTGCAATACATCGCCCTTTCACCATCCCACATAACCCCCTCAGATACCCCCTCAGCCGCTAAGTGGCGCTTGATCGCTAGCCTATCACGGCCATCTTCCATCACAACCCGTCCCTCCTAGCCCCCGTCGCAACCGCCGTCGACCCCATCCCTTTATCCCC